TAATATGAGTGGTCCTATCGCTCACCACTTTCTTACTGTCCCATAGATTACCGATATTTGTGTCCAGACTTTGCCGATCTGTTGCCACAAGTATTTGATACGCCTTTTGAGACAAATCATGTTTTGTGGGATCAGTCGCCTGAAGAGTCCATTGCAGTCGCGGCTGAGGTATGTCTACGGCTAATGGATTGCGAATGTATTCAACCTTCAGGTCAACAGCTATTATATCAGCCGTCGGTGCCGTCAATACTGCTATACATAACAGACTCTGAATGAGAAAACTTAATAAAAGCATTGAATTCTTCATTTTAATGAAAGTCAAACCAAACTATAGCTAATTAAACAGTAATTTTGGACTCTTTTTATAGAAAATCTCAATACAATTGCAAATACAGTAAAAATAGATTAAATAATAATTAAGTAAATTGTTTCCAAATTATACACCTGTTGTCTTGATTTAATTTATTGATACCCTGAAAAGATTTCCCTATATTTGATGTGAATTATTAGGTGTTTGTATTTAAAATTTTAAATCACTCGTATAAAATATTTAATGATAATAAAATTTTTCCGTTTAATAAATTCCTATTATTTTCCAATATTTTTTACATTTCTCTCAATTATCATATTTATGAAATTATTATTGATATCACATCGACATCATAAAGACCTCTCAAATGTGCATTAATTCACACACAGATTATATATTCTTGACACATGTATACTTATAATTTAAAATGTAAGCTTATTTAGCATTAAGAACTTGTGTATTCCTTATACTAGTCCAAACACAACACATGATAATTTATACTGATAATGTAAAAGTTTTACATTTTTGAATATAAACATGAATTTGCAACTACCAAAAATACCGTATAGTTCAACAGGCTGGTAAACCGTGTTCATAAGCTAGGTTAGTATATTTTGTATAAAAATTAACAAGACAATAGACTTAATTGTAGTCCGAGTCTCGTGATTGACATATGGTTNATTTTTGAATATAAACATGAATTTGCAACTACCAAAAATACCGTATAGTTCAACAGGCTGGTAAACCGTGTTCATAAGCTAGGTTAGTATATTTTGTATAAAAATTAACAAGACAATAGACTTAATTGTAGTCCGAGTCTCGTGATTGACATATGGTTTGACAAATTATTGTTGTCTTTTCTATGGGCATAGCTTATGTAAACTCTAAACTTAAAGGAGTCATATCTCCCTTTTCCGACGTGACCGCTCAGGAAGTATACCAGATCCGGGAGCCCTATCGGTGAACATGCATTTCATCACAATATCCCACACCTACCCCTACCCCATGAGCGCATATATTACTTATGCTCCAAATCTATATGTTTGAACATCTCTAAAGTCCTGATGAAGATCTCAGTGTAGATCGAAAACGTTGGGATAATCTATTATTTTTTGATACCTTTTCACTGATTAATAAAATAAGTCATTGAAAACAAACACTTAAATTATTTAATAGTTTTATTCTTAAATATTTCTGGGAAACCAATTCATGAATTAAATACAGATCACATTCATTAACCAATTGATAAAATTGCTATAAATTCTAACTTATTTTTAATTATACAATTTTGTATATAAAATATTAATAGTAGAAATGTAAAGTTTAAAATTCATTCTTGTCACTTTATTGTCAAATGTTATTACAATTTGTTATTTATTAATTACATTAAGCACTTGATTACGATATCCAATAAACATTTGAATCAATACCTATTAAAATTGTAATCAATTAAATATCGATGAACTTCATTCAATTAACACTTCAATTACTGATACAGTAATTAAGAGAATTTTCTAAAGATTCACTAAATAAATGCAGACTAATAGACAAAATAGATTTGCAATGAATAAGTGTTTGGCATATTTTTCGCTGAGCTATAGTAAGTCTATAAATAAGATTGTTGTCAATGACAGTAATCATTGCAATTTCGAGATAACATATGCATTACAAAGAAATACTTCATTTGTATAAAGTGTTTGTCATTCGCGAAACAAAAGGATCATAAAATAGTACCAAATAATTGCTGCAAAAAAGTCTACAATTGTTTTCAAAAAAATCCTATAAAATCGATATATAATACAAATAATTGTGCCGAAAATGTCGATGCAATTCACGGACAGCAGCTCCTACATCAACCAATCGCAACCTGAGATACCGGTGACCGCGTACGGAAGCACTCCGCCTGATTTGTTAACATAGTTGTATAGCTAGTACCATGCTAATAATTTTAATGACTGTATCCATAGGTTCACTCATCGGGAAAACTGGTGGCAGAGGCGCACCGATAGGGAACAGAAGCTTATAATAGCCATCATTTTCCTGTCCGCCCTCTCATTCGTCTTATTCATAACTGTTATCATTTTGGGGGCGAAACTACACAACAGTTAGGATTTGAGTGTAAATATATTTTTGTTAATTCTTTGTATAACTATTTCTAAAGTCATCGTTAGTTGGCTAATAGAAAGTGATTTAATTTTTTAAGCAGATTATGTGTTTCAAACAAATTCATTGTGGATATGAGATACAGAATCCAAGAATTTATTAACGTATCAATAATGTCATTGTTATGTGTATTAATGTATTAACTTATACTGTATTAAGTAATTAGATAATGATATGATTGTTTCCTTTTATATCTTATGATTCATAAAAAGTGATAATTTTTTGTAATGTTAAATATTTATTGTTTTTTATACTGTTAAATGTATAATTCATTATTTTCTTAATAAACATGAAAATTAAGTTAGTTTACGGGTAAATATGTTTTTAATATAATTTTCCACATTTCTAAGATACCATAAAATAGGTTATTTTTATCAGAAATTGAGTTATAAATATGGGATAATTATAAACAACTTTGAATAATATAAATATTATTTAACTTTAAATTAGGTTTTTAACATTTTAAGTTGTATGTAGACTTAAAATAGTGTCTAACATTTACAATAATTGTGAAATTAATTGCACAATTTGCACCTAATATGAAGTAATTTCATATTAAAGTAAAATAATAAAAACAATTTTTCTCACACAATTCTGGTCCTGGTGTATTTGTTTAATACGTTTGGGTTAAACCGGTCTAATTATGATGATTAGATGGTTAGCTAATGGTTAGGTGTGTGCCCTCTGGTATGCCTTCAATACTATAGTCGAGTAAAAGTAGTGTTCAATGAATGCATGCATTGAATGAGTGAAAAGCACGGCATATGTGCAGTGCATATGCAGTCAAACTCAATGCAAAACTCATTATTTTTGGTCTGTTTTGTGGTAAATATTGTTTATTACAACTCATTAAACAAAATCATTTGATTATTAATACAAATCTAGTTTGCATACAATTAATCGCTAATTATAATTAACCATTTGTTTGTGCCTTGAAATCATTAAACTATTACATATAGTCAACAGTTTTTGTATGCATTGAAAACACGGCTCAAAACCAGTGCTAAACAAAAGTAAACAAAAGTTTGTTTTCATTTTGAATGACATT